CCCCAAAACCCCAAAACCCCAAAACCCCAAAACCCCTTAAATTTTATGCATGATTGCAAAATATTAGCTATCCTGACATTATCAATTATGCAAAAGGATCAAAATTGCTATTTTGATCTGATTGATTTCCTGGAGTTGCTGTGCCATATCCTCCTGTTCCTGTATATTGAGGGTTTTCTTGATAGCCTCCTGGAGCGGAACTACCTCCTGGAGCGGAACTACCTCCTGGAGCGGAACTACCTCCGTAGCCACCATCTCCATAGCCACCTCCTCCATATCCAGTATTAAACTGTCCAGGTTGAGCTCCATAATTATTATATCCTCCTGATGGACCACCATAGCCACCACCATATCCTGTATTGAATTGCTGTTGGCCTCCATAGCCTCCTCCCATTCCAGTGTTATATTGTTGATAGCCTCCGCCCATATTATTATAGCCCATAGAGTTATCAGTATAACCACCTGCTCCACCTCCCATTCCAGTGTTGTAATAATCAGGCTGAGCTCCTCCCATAGGGGTCTGATTCTTTGCTGCAGCAACAGTATTGTATAGTCCCTTTAGCATATTAAAATCACTTCCAGCTGGATTTGATCCTGCAGCTGGCTCACTTGAGGCCTGGTTGAAATCATCTCCTCCCAAAATATCTTCAAGAGCTTCCTTTTGATCTTGTTTTGAAACTGGTTCGTTAGAATTTTCCTGATGACCTCCCCAGATTCCGTCATCATCCCCAAAAATATTATTACTAGAAGCTGGCTGGGCTGTCTGATGAGCTTGACTAGAATCATTATAAACATCTGCTTCCTTATTAGCAAATGGATCCCACTCTTCTTCTTTCTGTGAAGATGTTACCATTGTATCAGACCTTCTCGCAGGAGGAGCACCTCCTCCCAACAAATCATCAAGCGCTGCAGTATTAAAATCATCTACTTGAATCTTTTCCTTCCTGGCAGCTCCGACACTCTTTCTTGAATACTTACCTCCACTCACAGAGGCCATTTGCTCCTGCTTCTTGACATCTCCAAGAAGATCAAACTGATAATCATCATCTGAATCGCCCTCATCTGAGTCTTTATACTCTTCCTCAAAGCTACCTTTGTCTTGGTCTTCAAAATCAGGCATCTCCTCTGCAAAGTCATCGTCTTCATCAACGAAGCCATCCCCTCCAGCTTCTTTATCCTTCTTAGCATTCTTCATAGCTCTTTCCTTCTTGGCATCAGGCTTGTAATATTTAGGCTCTTTAAAGGAGAATCCAAACAACATGGGGATAGTATTAGCCTCTTTCTTCAAAGTATCAGTAAAACTTCAGAAGTTCTTGTACAAAATCAAGGCTTTGTTCATTTCGGCCGCACTCATGCGCTTATACCTATCCAAGGTCTCCATGGTCATTATGTAGAAAACATTGTAGATCTTTACCAAATCCAAAAAGATCACGTAGATGAAGTTCTGATGAGCTCGATATTTCCTGCAAAAGCCATTATTTTCAAACATTGTCATGATCTGAGTGATCATATTATCAAAACTTTCATAAGCCGTGAAGAGGTCTTTGTTCTTCATCTTCTTGATCAACCTTGTTACTTCTGAAATTCTAACGGAGAGTACCTTGGATTTCCTCATGAATTTTATAAGAAACTTGAGGTATGCTCAGTAGAGCTGAGAGACAACCAACTTCATTTTCCCCTCTAAACAATAAAATTATGGACTGCCCCAATTTGAAAATAGGAGGGAGAATACATCTCTACTTTTAACCTACCATAAGTATTATCATTAGGCTTCTTTTTATAATATGTTAAAATATCTGACTTTTCTCCTAACTCTTGTGCAACTGCCTGGGACAGATCAAAGTCTTGCAAACATCTGTGGAAGATGATAAAAACTTTGATGTTAACTGTCCAGTTTTCGGTATTTTCAATGAATCTTTGCAAAAGTTTCATTAGAGCTTGACTAGCTGTAACCTCAGAATGAGCACCCTTCAAACATGCCATTAAGTCTATAAACTATTAGAATGCCTTTCTTACATCTCACATGCTTTTCCTTAGGCTCCTTGGTATCATGGCCATAGGTTCCTTTAATGAGTCTCTAAAAATAGAATTATTAGAAAGCAAGGAATCATAAAAAATGCTGATGATTTATCTCTTTATAGAAATAAGGTTTTACTTTATCAAACTCAGTCTTTCCCTTCATTGCAGCAAAGTTCCTGAACATCTTATTGAATCCTCCTTTCATGCTGATACCTCTTTAATTTATTAAGAATTTTTAAGTTTTGGGGTTTTGGGGTTTTGGGGTTTTGGGGTTTTGGGG